AAAAAAAAATGACAAATTAATTTTGGAAATAGAAATTAGATCACGAAAACCTCTTTTAAACACTTATTTTATCGCACTCTGTTCCCTAGACAACCAGAGATGGGCAACTCCGATTTCAACTCCGTTAGCAACCACTGTAACTCTTGGTATAACTCCGTAGGAACCGGTGAACTTTTATTTGTGTTAGCGTCCATACTGCCCAAATACACAGTCTAACTCCGATAAATTTTGCATAACCCCGCCAAAAATCCATTCAACTCCGAAATTGTCAACTCCAACTCCTGCTGGAGTTGCCCATCTCTGTAGACAACACTAAGAAAAACAAATTTTCTTTCTTCTAAAACTTCTTAAAAGTTAATATTTAGGTATTCGAAAGTTTATCGTTTATCCTTGTTAACGCGTAAATTTTTTCCGAAGATTTTCTTCGGGTCCCCGAATTTAATTTTCGGAAATACCCCGAGATAAAAATCATGGACCCATAGACCATCGACCCCGCTGATTCCGAATATCGCCCCCAGATCTTCTCCCGGACTCTAATCGCATTTGAAAATTTCAAAGTCCGGTGATATGAAAAAAACAGGAGTTCTTTTAGTTAACTGTTTAGTTAAATTGTGTTTATATACTGAATAGTTTATAGGCGTACTAACTTCATACTTATTGTCGTAATACATTTGCAGTTTAATCTTAAAATTGTTTGCATAATACTGTAACGAATAACATCGAGCAAACACATTCGCCAGTTTCTATTACACAATCAAATGAACCACCATTTTCAAACGATATGTTAAATATAATCTCAAATAATTACTATGAAGGATTCATCTTCAAATACTTCAGTCTCAAGAGATACTCGTAATAATAATAACAATACTACTACCCAAGCGTCAAAAAAAATCTAGTATCGCCCGATTCATCTAGATTATTAGATTTTTACTCGACTGCAGCTATTGGATAAGGACAGTGGAAATCTAGTAATCGGACGATTGCTGGATTTCTTCTGGTTGCAACTATCGATTTATCGCCCTATAATCGATCTATTTAACTATTGCTAGATGCGCGCAGACGCATCTAGTTAAAGGTCCCTCTTCAAACTAGTAATCTAGATGGCAACTAGTCGTATATTGCCCGATTACAGACGAAACGTATCTAGATTTTTGCCACAGATGATGTTGCTCGGGTACATCCAATGGAGATAGTGAAAGTCGTTTTTTTAAGGAAGATGATCATTATACTGCAACGTTAAAAGAAAAGTATCATGAAAAACCTGTAATCGTAAAACATACGCATGATGATGTTTTAATTGCACTAAAAACGGACAGAGGTAAAACTGGAAACATCTCAGCCAAATTCGTTTATCGATGCAAAAATAATTTTGTCTTAACCGAAATAGCTGATCTTGATATTATTTGCGACAAGAAAAGTCTGAAGCCGATTGTTGTTAATGAATTCTTTTATCACCTAATTAGTGGGTGTCATCAAAGAATTTCACATGGGGGACGTGAAAGGCTTTGAGCGAGATTTCGTCGAACTCTGAATGGATTCCGCATGCGTTCGTGGAAATTTTTCAAAAAGCAAGAGATATGCGCGATTACAATTACAAAATGTAAAGTCGAAACACAGATATTATTCTTAAAATTCAGAATTCTAGGCGTGAGGGTGGGAGGTGTTGGTGAGTGTTAGTGTGCAACTTTACAAGTATGTAAAGTTAAGAATTCTAAAATTCTGAATTCTGAGAATAATAGCAGTGTTCAAGCTTTACATTTTGTAATAGTAATCGCGCAAACCTCAAAAACAGTGTATAGATTGTCAAATCCGTTCAGATTGAGTTTTCTGGGCCAATATTCGAGTCTACGGTGTTGTTGAACACGACGACCTTCCAGAAGAAATGCATGAGTTGGTTCAAAATGCGAAAAACGCCGAAGATGATCAGAGTGTAGTGAGTGGCAGTAATACTACACCAAGATCTAATAGGCACCAATTAGCGATGTTCTTGCTGATGACTTTCTCAGAGGAAAAAAGTAAAATATGCCATCCATATACCTTGAAGGGTTTTATCTAGAGCCATCAAAGACAGAGTTAGAGCCCGTAAAGGAACAAATTGCGAGAGGTTTTTATAATAATTCCTCTTGGTCGTACATGATTAAGATACTAATGAAGGATTTTTTCGCGGATGGCTTTCTCAACGGAGAAAAATAAAATATGCCATTGATAGAGCTTGAAGAGTTCTATCTGTAGCTGGAAGTACGGGGAAGCGAATCATGAGAGGTTTTGTAATATTTCCTCTTGGTCACACATGAGCAAGGCACCAATTAGCGATCTTCTCGCTGATCAAACGAGAAAAGTAAGATATGCAATCGATAGAGCTTGAACAGTTCTATCTGAAGCCAGCAAAGACGAAGTTGGAGACAGCAAAGAAACGAATCGCGAAAGGTTTTGTAACATTTGCTCTTGGTCACATATCATCAAGGCACCTGCTGGCGATCTTCTCACTAATCAATTTGTCAAAGAAGAAAACTAAGTTGATATCAATAGAGCTTGAAGAGTTTTGTCTGGAGTTAGCAAAGAAACGGATCGCGAGAGGTTTTGTGGAAAAAAAATCGAACATCACTTGGACAGTTGCATATCAAGTTGGTAGAAAAATGAATTGCGTCAACGTAGCCAAATATACATTCTAAGAATAGATAGCTAGCGCTCTACAACTGTAGCTATGCCTCTGTTCAGGCGGAGTTTTTCTGTTGTTAGAAAAACACTTTTCAAAATTCGGACATGGTTCGACTGCTGAACGTGAAGGTGATTTTCTCTTCAGGTGGTCTTTTGAAACACTTGAAATGCGTTTTCTGTCAGAATTCAGCCTCGCGAATAATATTGTTTCCACATCAGGGTCGTGACCGGCCTGTAGTTCGGGTATAGGAAGAAAAGGTATTGTCAAAATAGTTTTCTAGCGAAAAGTAGGATTTTTATCATTTTCCAAGGGAAATTATCCCCATTGCGAAACTTGTAGAAACCACGGTCCCTCACGTACGACCTTGCATCAAGTCTCAGACGAAAGGGCAAGTTCAAGTCCACGTGACAAGTTTTTTTTGAAAAGTCTTTCTAAATGACCTTTCGATAAAAAGGAAACCCTTCAGAGACGCAATTATAAATGAGAGCCTATGGAGGAGTCCCTTTATTTTTTAGAAGGCATTATAAAAACTGCGCAGTGTCGCAGAGATGAGATCCTTGTGCTTGAGGTTTATTGGCCTATTATTGCAGATGTGTTGGGAACGTGCTTGTTGATAACAGACAATGTGTTTCGAAATATTTATCAAGAGATTTCATTTTGATAAATATATTTTTCCACTGGAACATTTAGACACTAGGTAATAATTATATTCATCTTCTGTTAGGATCCACGTGGGATCCTACGACAGAATACGACAGCGCGGTAGTGTAATGGCAGTGCGTTCGACCGGTAATCGAAAGGTCTGGGATTCGGTTCCTCAGTCGGATGGTGTTACTTTTCCCGTTCTGTCGTGATAAAAACATCTCGCTGGATGGCTACGAGGCGCAACATCTTCAAATTTTAACTTAACATGCATAACTTTATTCCCCAACTAGTCAGAAGTTCTACCACTCATCATCGACATTTTTGCATTTAGTCATATGATCTAATACGGAGAGAAGCCAACTAAACGGAAAAAGGAGACTACAACTCGAACCTGTGATAAGTCTGCATCCTGCCTGATATTGACGAATGCATTTCGCTGTGTGAAAGAACTGATAGAATTTTGACTACAAATCGTATCTCCATTTTTCGCGACTGACGATTGACCGAAATATTTCATAGGTACAAATCCTATTTCGATCGATCACGACAACAAGGCATGATAGAGGTAACTGCATCTGATGTTCTTTTTTTAAAAGTACATAACAAAAAGAACAGTTATTCTCACTAATTAATATTAGTGCTTTAAAATGAAATCCTTCAAAAACCTATAAACTTTGTTTCTTAACAAAAAACAAGGAATACAAAATAACACACATCAAATCAACTTAATTATGTGCACACATTTGCTTTCAAGAAGACATAGACGGCTGTTAATGTAACAATCACTCAATAAAAGAAATCGTCGTTTATTCTGTAGAAAACCAATACGTCGTATTTCGAGGGAAAAATGTACGGCTACCGATATCAACAACCGCAACGTCGTCACTACGTTGGACCATCAGGATGGTCAGCTCCACCGCAACAGCCTGCACCGATCTATGCTGTACAGCCGAGACCACACTTGGACCCGTACAGTAGCCGTGCTTTTTGGCCTGTTGCTTCCACTACACCACCACGGGTTCTGTTAGTCACTGGACTACCAGTACAGAATGTTAGACCTGAAGTGAGACGGAAAGCCTTTACTTTTTATCAATGTTCCTCTACCTCCAATAATATTTTTCTAGAACTTGTTCAACAACACTGGTGCCACATCCCCTTCATTAGTTGAAGTGAACGTAGAAAAGTTACCCAAAGTTAAAGATGCAAAATCAACCCGGTGAGTTTTGATACATGACAGAGATAGACCTGCTCAATTCAATTTTTCTTTGATCGGTATCTAGATATACACGCTATATGTTGCGCCGACGGCGTAGTAGTTTGGGGAAGCCTGGTTCCGCCGGTGGATTAGGATGGTGTGAAATCTGTTCGTGTCTGGGAGCGTGTTTATTGATTTCTGCCGCTATTGCTATTCCTGTTGGTATCGTTTTTGGTTCGAAGAAAAGTGACGATACAATTACCACAAGTTTACCCGCAGTCTGTTCATGTGAGCTGAACACTGTTTATTTTTTACATACACTTTGTTATGTATGTTTGAACTTCGCACTGAACATATATACAGAGGCGACCTAAATAACTTCAAGCACAAGTGTACCGGTCGTCTTATATACAGTTTTCCGAGTCGATCAGATGCAGATATATGATTGTCTTAGAAACGGATACATTCACCTTGTACATGTTAATTTAGGCGCGATTACAACATCGATATGTATACCAACGACTATATCCACCAATTTAACAACTAGCACAACATTATCGACCGCTTCATCAACTATCATCATCAGTAAGGTTATATTCTAACATTGTTCTTCCGAAATACTCAAATTTGTAATATCACTTTTGCAGACACATTTCGTCGGCATCACTTTGTAATACAGCTGCTGTTAGTGCTCTACTCCTTGAAAGAATGATGAAAAGCAAACAGAGACCTAGTGATAAAGCACTGAAAGATCTCGGGACATGTCTTAGTGGATGAGAGGGAGAGATAGGCTAACTAACATAGATAATCACTACCGAAGGACGATGAAATATGTACCTGATAGTGATGAAGTGACTCGTGATGTAGGGATATATTTTGTAAAAAAAATGCAAAAGAATAAAATATAAATGAAATCATAAAAAAAAACACAGAAGCACGAGGCACAGACGATATCGACGAAAACAAAAAGGCAGTGTATGTAGAATAAAATGTGACTATATATACCACTGTGCGAAAATGTCGAGGTCATATGACTAAAACTGTATATGCGGGAATAGAAAAAGACAAAAAGAAACGAATTGCGTATAATCTAAACGTATAATCATTGAAAAATGAGAAAGAGCGAAAACGAACAAAATGGAAAATAAATGACTGACTATCTCGAAAGGGTCATAAACGCTCGTGTAAGGCTAGAGATCGAAGAAATGAAAGCTCTATCTTAACAGCAGTACTGTCGCACACATCTGAAATTCTTAACTAAACGCATGTCTATAGAATTTCTTTCTAGTCAGTACTACATTACCAACAACAACTTCCACCACCACCACAACAACATCGACTACAAGTAAATCAATTTCTTATTAAACTTTAAAATTACAGTTTTCATTGTATTGAATCAAGCTCGCATCTGTTTGATCAAGCAGTTAAAAACTTCTTGCTCCCGTGGTCAAGACCTACTGTGACACTAGTTAGAACTTTTTTGGAATTATAGCCACCAGCTCGTCAACATCGAGTACCCCATCGACAGTAACCACGACAACGTCCACAACGAGTAAGTTCTGAGGCATTCTTCAATAGTCTCCGTACAACTTGTCTTTGTCATTTGATTCTGTACTTACATTTCCGTCTAGCTTCTACTACGACAATAGCGACAAAGACTTTCACTACTACAACGACGACCACCAGTACCACTACGACTACTACTGCAACAACGACAACCACGATTACAAGTTTGTTGATTTATATACTTGCGTTTCTTACTTAAAGTTAAAAATAGTACATGCTTAGCTGATTGCATAAGAGCTAGTCTCTGAAATTCTTTTGTAAAGTTTCACAGTTTCTAAAATGTATTTTTTTAGCGTATCACTGTAAATTCTCCACGTTTTGCAACTGCTTTTAGGCACCACAATAACGACCACAAGCACAACAACAAATTAGTCGGTTACCTCTTTGCTTTTTTTCTTCGACTATTCGTTGAGTGATAGGAAAAAATCTTATCTGACTGAGACTCTGAACTGAGTACTTCCAACTCTGAATCAGAGTTGGAATCGGTATTATCGGTCAAACCGCTTCGTTTTCTTTTTATCGGTATGGGACGTATATCTCTCTTGCGCTGTGCTCGTCTAATGTCGATAAAAGATAGAGAACCGGGAAGAGCGGTAATACCGGTTGCAACTCGGACTCACTTGGGTGCATGTTTTATGTAGCACTGTTTTCGAACTCATCTGTTGGCCCACGTTCGTTCCAACTTGCATTCTTCCAAGAGAGCGCATGCTTCACGTCTGCTCTGTAAATTACATTTAGCCTCCACCACGACAACTGCGACAGCAACAAAATCGACAACCAGCACAACTTCGACAACGAGTGAGTGTGGGATGTAATAACTTTTCTGCGTTTCCATAGCTCATTTGACCATATATCTATATCTTGTAATTACTCCTAGCCTCCACTACAATTACAGTCATTACTACAACAGTCACAACGTTATCAACTACCAGTGAGTATTTCTGACTATTTCTATCATAAATTCACATTATATCTTAAAAATCTGTTATAGGCGGAGTGATGACAAACTGTACCAATTACCAAACAAATCAACAAACTATTTTACAATTAACAAACATGAATTTTCAATCTTCGTACACCACCTATACTTTCAGTTACATAACAAGCGCTAATCTCACAATGATTACATTCTCATTTCGTAATGATCCACAATATTGGGTCCTCGATGATGTCAAATTCGTTGATACCGTTACCAGCAACAATCAGGTAACTAATGGCGGTTTTGAATCCGGCAGCCTGTATCCATGGACGTATTGTAATCCAGGCAATGCAACTTTCGCTGGTGGAATCGATGATACCCTTCGAAATCATGGCACTTACGATTATGCTGATGGATCGGTTGGCTCTGCTGATTATTTGAGTCAGAGTGTATCGACAGTAGTAAATCGGACGTATACAGTTAGTTTTGCATTAGCAAATATACTGGGTACGACTGGGGGGGCAACGCCCACCAGAATGGCACCGAGTGTAGCACTTGTTACAGTGTCACCATGAATTTTGTTTTAGAACGAGTTACCCATGAGGTTTTTTTCGATGAAATATCGCGATCAGAGGCGATATTTTATATCTTATATCTCGATAGGTCTTAACTCTATCGAGACGCCACGTTAAACCGCTAGAAAAAAATTTATCGCGATATACCATGCGGAATGAAGTTATCGGTTTCTGTCCCCGATGAATTTTTTATCGAATTAAAGCTGTCCATTATTGCGATAAAACATCTTATCGAGATAATAATCTATCGGGATGGAAACCGAAACCTTTATATCACGCGATATATCACGATAAAGTTCCGTGTGGCGGTCTAACGTGGCGTCTCGATAGATTTAATTCCTATCAAGATATAAAAACTGTCGAGGACTATGACGATTACTAATTTTATCGCTATATAGTCCGATACGGTTGTCATGCTGCAATGTATCCTACATAATAGAAAATTCTATCACTGTTTTATAAGACGAAATGTTCTGGAAAACAGTACGATTATTGACTTATCGACCAAGCTAAAGGCAGATGTGGTAAGAGATGTCAGAATAGCTGGAATAGACTGCTTATTAACTTAAGCATCAAACTTGACGGATCACATCTTACCGGTCTTATCTTCGGGATGTGATCCGGCGAAATCATAACGTAAAAAAATAAGGAAAAATTGTAAGTCGTCAAGTTATTATTTTTTGGAAGGCATCGTCCACGTAAAATTCATTCACAAAAAATTATTTCGATCGGCACAGCGTCTGACAGACTTTAGATCTAAAGCGTTGTCTGACGAAGAATATTCTCTTTCGATTTTAAAACTGTCACGAAGAAAATAGTTCAACTTTGAGACAAAAAAATAACTGACTTCTGCTTTCGAAAATTGCTGTATACTTACCAATGACAACAGTCAAATAGTTAGGCTGGTTCACTTAACTACAATAAAAGAAAATAAATATGGGTAGAAAACACTCCTTGAGTGTTATTGTGTTATTCATCACTCGAAGAAGTGAATAAAGTTTGAACGAAACTCTCTTTGCACCCTTTCATTAGGTGGCCAAAGAACTAGAACACGCACAGAAAATGTTTTTATTGGTATACACGAGAGATTATGAAAGTAAACATACGGGGACGTGCTACGCCCATTCGTTATCTTGAAATAGCATTACATTACTTTTTTTGATAACACCGTAGCTGATAATCAAGCTCTTCAACTGCAACAAGTGAAGAAATGACAAGTGAAGAAATGACTACTTGAATTGTGTCGATGTAAATCTGTTTGTTATATACGTTAAAAGAGAACGAAGGATAAACATAGTGGACGATAATATACCCACACTGTCTATCTATTTTTCTTCTTTCAACGGATAGATGAAATAAAAAAAACATTACATGGTTACAAACGAGGAAGAGCAAAATATGAAATCAATATATTTAATCCTAGTTTCGTGCAACGATTTATTTAATGGGAATTTATATTCTCGCTTTCTTACTGTTTCAAGACCAGCCTAAACCAAGTCTGCGGAAGAGAAAGAATGATTAGTTGGAAAAATTTTCCTCTACGATGTGCGAAGGAAAAATCTTGCTGTAATCTTACCGTGATCCCGTGAGACTTGTGAAACACAGACTGGAACTACTGATTTCAAGAACGCGATTACAATTATAAGATCGCGATTTTATTTTGCCAAGATCAGTATTTTCTCATTATACGAGACAAAATGATGTTGGCGATCAGATCTCAGCAAAAATGAAACGGGAATGCCACTAGGGAATGCCCCCTGGCCGACTTATCTCGTTAAATATCTCTTTAATTTCATGCAAAGGGTTTTCGTAATTTCTCTTCCTTTTCTACGACTTTTTATCTTGTTGCGCTCGTTAATGTACGTTAATAACGCGTTACATACGAAGAATTAACGTTTTCCAACGTAAGAAATAAGATATCGGCGTAGCCAGCTAACGGTCCACCTTCGGATGAGAAGGTTCGAACTTTTGTTTTAACTTGAGCAAAGCTTAAAAAATCCTCATTAGACGCAATTTTTCATGGTGATTACATATCTGGAGATGATCAGTCTGGCCGGAAGACCTTTAGCTTTTTTTCCATAAAATCTTAATAGTACATTCGGAAGACATGATTTTTTTATCATTTATAGTACTCATCTAGAGTGAACGATTTACCATCATTTCGACCATATTCCTTGTATAAAATCAATATAACGAAGGATATGTTCGAAGCTCCGTAGCTAACTTTGAGACAAGTTATTTTAAAATTTAATAATACATATGAAATTTGCTTTTTAACGAGAAATAAAGACAAACTCATTCTCGCTGTTGAAAGAAAAGAGGATTGAAAGGATAATAAAGATAAAGAAGTGAAATGTAGGAATGTATTACATATTCAGCACGTGGACTGCACCTTAAGCGTGAGAACTAGCAAATATTTAGCGAAATACCGAGAATATTTTCTCTTTCTGTCGACTTCTTTGATAGTGATCTATGCAATTTGAAGATTTCTATAAACAGCGAGAATGAGTTTGTCTTTATTTCTCGTTAAAAAGCAAATTTCATATGTATTATTAAATTTTAAAATAACTTGTCTCAAAGTTAGCTACGGAGCTTCGAACATATCCTTCGTTATATTGATTTTATACAAGGAATATGGTCGAAATGATGGTAAATCGTTCACTCTAGATGAGTACTATAAATGATAAAAAAATCATGTCTTCCGAATGTACTATTAAGATTTTATGGAAAAAAAGCTAAAGGTCTTCCGGCCAGACTGATCATCCCCATCTGGACTCAAAAACAAAGGAAAGTCAAATCTTCGCAGTGAAAATTCAAATTTTTAAATTTTAAATTTAATTTCCTGACCTAGATACTTTTCGAAAAATTTTGAAAACTATACCGTCGGATAGAGAATCAAGTCCTCTACCAAAGGACTCATTTGTTTTGAGGTTTAGATGCGAAATTTTTATTTTTATTTTCGAAAAATAGTTTTGGCGCTTATTTTGTGAGCAGTTTTATGTCCATTTAATCTAACTTTGAAAATTTATTGCTCAAACTGTGAGCTTTAATTTCGTAATTAAGCAATCATTTTAAAGTTAATTTAAGGCTGAATAATTTACATTTTACTGAAATACGCCGAAAAATACTTCCATTTTTTGAAATTCCGTAAAGGTCTCTATTTTGACTATAACTTTTGATCCGCTTGTTCAATTAAGCTCAATCTATTCTTGGTAGCAGAACTCCCTAATATGCATCATTGGTATAAATTTCACTGATAAACGTTGCCTCTTTGCCGAGATAAGGGGTACAGAAGACGAAAAACATGAAATCCCGTAACATTTGGCCAAGCCGATATCCCGCTAAAACGCGCTATTTGAACGATTTAATACCCGATACAATCTGTTAACGCGTTACAACAGTATAAAATCTGTGCTCCGTCACAACGCTTGGCACTTTTGTCGATGAATTGTATCACTTTAACGCTGAAAAAATATTAGGAAATAATTTATTTGCCACGCATCGGGATACAGAAGAATATTGCGATAAATATTGTCTTTATTGCCTTAAATAAATTTATCTAGCTTTATTGAGCTAAAATATATTTGCAATGTTCTCGAGATAATAATTTTCATCGCGATGCATATTAGCACTAGCGCAATGCTTTACTTTACCTCGATAAACACTAGAATTATCGCAGAAAGCTTCTTTCCTCCGACTTCGTGATATTGACTTATCTGTCGCATCTACCCTTTCTCACTAATCGACCTAATCTAGGTACTAGACTATACACATCATCTAACGCCACTATAATTTTTTTCCTTACTTGAAAATATCGAAAT